GCAATTCAGTACTGGTTGGTGGCTCGAGCCGGCAAGGTACCATGGTGACGCCGACAACGGCGGGACGGATGATGATAGTAGCGATGGTGGTGACGATGACGATGATAACGACCAGGCTAGTGACGGCGCTCACGCTGGTCACGTTGGTGGCGATGATGTTGATGATGATGGTGATGATGTCCATGTGTCATTGGTAAAACATGATTTGGACATGAGCGCGCGGCCGACGCGCACAAATGGCGCGCATGGTGTAATTTGACAGCGGTTGTGCCCCCTCCCAGCAAACGCGCAATTGCGTGCGAATGATTACGGCATGCGCGCGCGAGGGGCCCGCGTGGTTTTATTAAGAAATTGTTGAACAGCTTATGGTTTCCGTAAGGATTCGCAAAAACGCGTTGATTTGTTTGAGCTGTGTGAACACCACTGTTCCCCATTCAGTGCTTGCACTGAAGGGGTCCTAGCGGATCTTGAAAAATTTGGCGAAAGTTGGCGGCCGATTTCCCTTGGCCGCCAAGTTCCTGGGTTCCAGGTTCCGGGTTCTCGTTTTCCGGCTGCTTGTTCGGGGACGATTTCCGAGCCGATTCCAGAGGGCGCAGGGGTTTTTGGGTTCCCGTGTTATTGGTCGATCTCTTTATCGGTCGGTCCACCATCGATCTCATTACCCATTTCCTTATCGATCGCACAATTGATCTCGTAATCGATCTCGCTATCGATTTCGCAGCCGCTCTCATTATAGATCGCACGAACGATCTCACGATCGATCTCATCATCGATCTCAATGAACCGACTTCACTATCGGTCTCTCGATAAACCTTACCATCGTCCTCACTGTAGATCCCACCCTCGATGTCACGATCGATCTCACAATCAATTTCAATATACATTGCACTACGTTTTAAGACCATCCACTGGTTGGGTTTTTTTCCTGGTGTATTTTTTCATTCATTCTTCGGGACGCTCGATCTTGAAATCCTGACGACACCGACGGTGTTGGACATAAATACTGATGCGCGCGCGGCGACGAGCGCTCGTGCATTCAGACCTACCTTTTTCGCATAGCGTTCTGCACTACTCATTCAAACAGTTGTTATATACATATAATACATCTATGGCAAAGGAGTGCGTGCGGATACCATCACTTGACAGAGATGGTGGGGGGGATCGATCAATTTGACGAAGTTGGAGTTGTCAAATCCATTGTTCTGGTAGTAGCGATAATGGTGCCGATTACGACTGGGACGACGGCAAAGCCAGTGACGGCGCCGATACTGGTCACGCCGAGGACGTTGACGATGCCCACGTCTCGCAGATTTGAGGGTTTTTGAATGAGTTGGGCATGCGTGCGATGGCGACGCGCGCGGGTGGCCAGCAACCGCCAGCAAGCGCGCAAGGGCGTTCGAATGATTTCGACATCCGCGCGCGAGGTGCCCGCGTAATTTCACTCGACGGACATGTTGCACACATCGTTTGGCTTTCGTGAAAAATCACAAGATCGCGCGCGCATTTTGTTTGGTCGCAAAAGCTATATGACACAACATATTGTGTTGTTTTCATATGTGTTCTGGGACCTCGATCTTGAACCCCCTGCGGCACGTCAGGTGTTTTACTTTTTTGGCAAGCGCACGACGACGCGCGCGTGTGGACTTGGCCCAGCCCGTTTGCAAGGGATTCTTGGCAACGGGCCTTCGTTGGCAGAAATAATGTTATTTGACAATGACGAGGGAGGGTCGCCAAGGGTACCCCTTAGGATGGTACGAGTTTGCATTTGCAACAAACCATGGGGCATACTCCTATGTAAATTGCCTTAAGCCAGGGGCTACCTACCGATAGTGCCGATGGGGTCGAGATTATTGTTTTTTTAGGAAAGCAGAGCCCATGTGGTGCAACCTGCGTGGTGCAATATGTATATATATATAGATATATGTAGTGTATGGTAGGTTGTGCAGTCTCTGCTGCGCGCAATCCAAGTGGTACCATCCAGTCCATGGTGCAATCGATGTTGAGCTAACGTGCCCATGTGGTGTGACCTTGGTTGCGCGAGTTATGGTGCAATCATTGTGGTCCGATCTATTGGTTATGGGCCACACGGTGCAATACATGTGGTGTGCGCTATGTGGTGCAGTAGATATGCATATACATATATATATATATGTACCAGTATTAGATATTATATGTTTCAAGCAGCCCATGCGGTGCAATCTAGGTGGCGTGGTCTAATCTATGTGGTGCAGCCTGCGTGGTGAAATGAACGGTAAGTGGTGCTGCCTATGCGGGGCGCAATGAGAAAAGCAGCATCTGTTGTGTAGATTGTGTGGTGTGAGGAGCTACGTGGCGTAGTCTGTGCAGTACCACGTAGTGAAATATGTGCCGTGCAGTCCATGTGGTGGTAGCGCAAGCTAGGTGGTGCAATCTACGTGGCGCAGTATGTTGCAATCGATTGCAGTCGATTTCAATGCAACGGGGGGGTGGGGGCCCACGGGGTAGCGGCAACGGGCGGCGACGGTGACAGCAAGCGCGGCGACCGACACCCGGGCGCAGTGAAGCGGGCATGGGCGGAGGCGACGGGCGGCGACGGCGACAACCAGGCCGGCCGGAGCGGCACCCGGGCCCATTAAGATAAAAAAAAAAAAAAACAAAAAAAAAAAAAAAAAAAAAAAAACGAGTCAGAGCCCTTAGGTGCAAGCGCTTTGGGGGGGGAAAAGCGCAGCGATTGCAATGATTGGTGGCGTTGGGGAGCCCTCCGCAGAGCTGTACTGCTCCTGATGGCCCTATGGGGTCATATGAACACTGTCTTAGGGCTTTAGGGTTTCTTGGGGCCCACGCTCTTGGGGTCTCCACGAACCTTCCTGAGGAAGCCAAGTGCTCCAGTGCATTCCTGGGCCCTCCCGAACAACCCCGCCTTTTCAAGCCGGGAACGGGCAGACACCTCACACGTCAGCATTCCAAGGTTTTCGACGAGTCTGACGGCCAGTCGGCACGGTTCCGCAGTCATTTTGGTTCAAGCGATTTTTATTCAAGTTTTGGTGATTTCAGCGTTGTGGCTCGAACGTCGTATGGATGGCTCTGCTGCTGTCGTGAATGTAGACTTCCCGTCTCAAGAAGATCTGCGCGATGCGTGCTCCCGCCTCCCTGGCCCGAATATTCTAGAGTCCACGCCCGCAAGTGTGAATGACAACATATATTGTTGCGGTGATTTCTCATTGGTGGAGCGAGATATCAACTGCGTCCTTCCACCACCATCAGCGGCCCGTATACTTGACTTCCTGCGGTCGCACAGAGTACCAGAATCTTTTCATGTGCGCCAGGAGCTGGTAAATTTCAAGAAGGTGATGTTGATCGTGCACCACCGAGGCAAGGCGATTGAGCGGTCAATAAGCGCGGTGAGGACATTCTTCTGGGAAGAAGGGCAACAGGAGAACGGCTTCATAGCACCGTCAACACGTCGAACCGAACTGACAGATGCGCAGATGCGTTGCAAGGGCCGGTGTGAAGCTTCTTCAGACGCACGTTGGCTTGCAAAAGCTATGTGTTGTTTGCCGAGGCATTCGGACAAGAAGCGCGCCGCATCTTTGGATGAATTGCCACGCTCACTTGGTTCATGGGCTATTGTGGAGGCTGCGTCGAAAAACTTAGGACAATCAGATAATTTGCCAGATGTCGTCGACACCTCGTCCACTTGGAAGGTGTATGTGTTTTCGGCGATTGAAGCAGAGGGCTGGCCAGCGCATGTGTGCGAGTTTGTGCGAAGCGTGCTTGTCTGCCGTGGAGCAGACAAGGCGCTAAGGATATGGGACGAACTGCGGCGGGCAAGCCAAGCAATAGAGGTGACGCTGAGATGGGCGGAATCTGTCCTTGAAAGCTTTGCTCTTGCACAAACCCCCGACGAGATGGCGCGGCAGCTGGTGCAACAGGGAGAGGAGATACCACAATGCTCAATTGATGGTGCTCCAAGAAGTCCAGCAGAGATGATGTCTGCATCGATGTGGCGAAGAAGGCACCTCAATTTGATCACAGGCTGCATCCCCGTCCTCAGCGATACGTTGCGTGGGTTCCAGATGATCGAAAGAGGTGGCACAGCACATCTTTTTGTTGCAGGTGACAGACAGCAATGTGCAGCTTCACATGCAATGTGTGCCCCTTCTGGTTTCGATTTCTGTCGCACGTTGGATGATAGCTTCCGGTCTGTTCTGTTGAGGTACGAGCCTGAAATGTGGGAAGCAATTTCAGTCAGCGGTTGGCCTGAACATGTCCCGCAGAAGACACAACGTGAGCGGGAAAACGAAAAGAAAGCTAGGGATGAGGGAGTGTGTCCGTCTAATCCGCGTTGCAAGCCGGCCTGGTTTTGTGTTCACTATCACCGATGTTTTGTTTGTGATGCGCACTCTTGTGACGAGTGCCGCATTGTCCGTGGCGATGGGGAAGTGGTTGCCAGTCTGGTGAAACGTCTGAACCCGCACAGGCTATGCATTGATTTTGATCGCACTCTTGCGAATACCCGCAAAGGCAACTTGCCGATCATAGGAAAGCATACGGTAGACATGGAACTTTTATCTCTGTTCTGGCTTTACCCTGATGCTTGCATGGTTGTTACTCGGAACTGTCATGTTGCTGGAATCCGCGCTTTTCTTGCAGCTCATGGTGCGCCCGACGCTGTGCCTGTGCATTCACTGCGCCGGCCAGCATCAAAGGCAACCTTTATCACTTCTGGCCTGAATGATGGTCAAAAGGCTATCTTCATCGATGACCGCATCGAAGAGCTTGTGGACCCACTTATATCAAACGATGACCGCGTCCATCGAGTCTTTTTTGTTCGCTAGTGCCAAACAAAAAAGTCGGCACGGTGCTCGCCTGTGTGTCTACGTGCGCATGGAAGCCCTTGAGAGGCTCCAGATGCTCCAGGTCCGATGCCAGTGAGGCGTGAGAGCAGAGAAGGGAGGAGAGAGTGACGAGGAGCGAGGAGGCGGTCGGAGAAAGATTGCAGACACACTTGTTGCGTCCCAGGCTACCTGAGTCTGGTGTGGTTCGGCATGTTCATATGGCTCACGACCTCTTTCGAGTGCTGCTCGCCAGATGTCAAGATCTGCAGGCAGGCGGCCATCTTCACCTTCATCGTTGTGTCGATGCTCTGCTTCGCCGTCTGGGCCTTCGGCCTCTTCCAGGTGATGGACAGCCAGGCGAGGAGGGTGAGGAGGAGGGGGAGGAGGAGGAGGAGGAGGAGGAGGAAGAGGAGGAGGAGGGAGGAGAAGGAGGTGGAGGAGGGGGAGGAGGAGGAGGGGGAGGGGATGCGCAGAATGCAGCGCCAGCAGATGCGGCAGTAGACGTTGGATGGGCCAGCCGAGGTTTCGAGGCCTCGCCTGCTGCCTGGCTGGCGGGCGCCCGTGGGCGCCCAGTGGGCGCCACGTGCACGGGGTGGGTCCGCCGAGGTCTCGCCCGGTGCCCGCCCGTGGGCGCCTCGGGGGCGCCGCGTGGGCGCCTCGTGCGCCTGGGTGGGGCAGCCGTGGTTCCGCTGTGTGGCCGCATGGCTGGCACCGCATGGCCTGCACCACGCAGCTTGCACCACACGGCCTGCACCACACAGCCTGCACCCCCAGAGCTTACGCCAGCACCACATGCCTGTCACGCCGGGTGTTGCTGTCTGTCTGTATGTATGCATGCATGCAGGTATGTATGCATGCATACATGCATGCATACATCTATGGATGGATAGGTGTGTGTATGTATATATGTATGTGTGCATGCATTCATGTATGTGTGTGCGTATATGCATACATGTCTGTCTGTCTGTCTGTCTGTCTGTCTGTCTGTCTGTCTGTCTGTCTGTCTGTCTGTCTAGATGTCTGTCTGTCTGTCTGTCTGTCTGTTTGTACGTACGTATGCATGTTCGTACGTATGTATGTATGGATGGGTGGATGTGCACATACGTTTTGTATCACATCGCTTACACGGATGGATGGATGTTTACATACGTACTCTACCACATCGCTTGCACCATGTACCTCACATCACAGATCTTATTCATTCACATTGCAATCATATATTGCGTGGGATACACTTTTTGTTCACGCCGCTCGACTACAAGCCATCATTGGAGAGGGTAATGGTGGCGGGGGCGGGATCAGGAGGTGCAGGGAGAAGGAGTGGCCAGTTTTTTTTTTCTGTGCGGGGGCCTCTGACGGGCTCAGCGGCCGTATGAACAGAACAGCATGCTTATCACAGCACTTCTTTCTCCTGGCAAATGGGCACGACGCTCGTTACAAGTTGCCATGCACATCATTATTGCTTGCAAGGCGTCGTTCCAGTTGAACATACTTCCCACGCACCCCTGCTAAGGCATGGGGATCAGTCAGTCTATGCGGCTGTCGCTGGATTCTAGAACTCCGATGAACTCGGTCGAACTATGCAACATGCACATGCTAGCAAGATGAAAGGCATCAGAGCACGCCGAGGAGGAGATGGATACGGAGGAGGAGGAACACAGAAGAGGACCAGCAGCAGCAGGAGGAACAACACACCGAGGATTGAGCAGGAAGAAGAGGAACATAAGCAGAGGAGCAGCATGAGGAGCAGCAGCAGGAAGAGGAGCAGCAACAAGATTAACTGGAGGAGGAGGCAGAGCTAGACAGGGAGGAGGAGGAAGAGGAGGAGGAGGAGGAAGAAGAGGAGGAAGAAGAGGAGGCGGAGCAGGAGACAGAGGGGCTTCGTGATGTGACGGCGATGGTGATGATGACGACGATGAGGAGGAGAAGCTGGAGGAGGAGGAGGAGGAGGAGGAGGAGGATGAGGAGGAGGAGGAGTATGAAGAGGAGGAGGCGGCTGGCCAAGGCGAGCAGGTGCGGCCTGATTCTGTGGCAGTACGGCAACTTCTGCTTCGTGGCCCGCCCCCCACCCCCCCCGCCGCGGCGGCGCGCCGCGTGCTCTCGTCGCCGCCGTCGCCGCCGGTCGCCGCCGCCGTCGCTGGCCGCCGCCGCCGGGTCGTCGTCGCCGCCGCCGCTGCCGCCGCGGTCGAGGCCGCCGCCGCCGTTGCGGTCGTCGTCGTGATCGCCCCTCCCCCCCGGTGATGGGCCTGCTTTCCACCACCACCACCACAACCGTAAGTTGGAAGGGGGGGAGGCGGTGGAGGACGAGGAGGAGGAGGAGGAGGAGGAGAAGGAGGAAGAGGAGGAGGAGGAGGTGAAGGAGGAGGAGGTGGAAGAGGAGGAGGAGGACCCCTTCCCCCTCCAACTTCTGGTGGTGGTGGTGGTGGTGGAAAACAGGCCCATCGCCTGGTGCCTGGGGAGGCCAGCCCGCGAGGCTCGACTTCCTCGCAGCTCGGTCCTGGCAATGCCCCAGCCTGCGGGCAGGCGGCCCGCCAAACTTTCCACTCACAGTCGATTGGACGTAAGAGTGACCCTTCGCCGGACTGACCTTTGGTGCGGGCCCATTGGGGCCCCCCGATCGCCGAAGGCGATGCGTTTTTAGCGTCTTGCGCGATTGGATTTGGTCCCACCGCGGCCCCCCAAAAGCCGCGCACCAAAGGTCACTCTTACCCAGGGTCACTCTTGCGTGTAGCCGACCCCAGGGATCCTCAGGAATCCTCCGGAATCCCGAGGAGTCCTCAGAAATCTTGAGAATACTTCAGAAACCCTTTCGGGATCCTTGTTGGAATTCCTGGGGGTCCTCAGGGATCCCAAGGCCCTCTTCCGTCGGCGCAGGTTCTGACAGCCCAGACGTTGACACGCGTTGACTTCGGCAGGTGCTTGAAGGGGTCGTCTGGCTTCCCCTCAGGTTTTCCGTTGGGCTGGCTTCTAGAACTATGTCGGCCTGAGAAGGGCAGGAAGGAAGTTTTTCTCGCCGGATCCATGATGCCCTGACCTCGGCTGTGTTGGCTCTGCGTGGCCTGGTCACCAGATGCTAACCAATCGAGCACTGGAAGCACCCGACATTGTGGATTAGCAATGTAAGTCTGGAACAGCGCTGGGGGGGGGGGGGCGCGCAGCGTAAGCAGCCAGTGAAGCCAGCCGTCAGGGACGTTAGGGATAGGTTCAATCGCGCAGAGAGTGGGAAGGCAGTCGGGCGAAGTAAACTCAAGGTTGGCAAACAAAACACTGGCCGAGCTGTGAAGTGAGCTCTCGTTGAGACGCCAGTCGCCGAGAGCGGTGGCATTCCATCCCTCTTCCAAGGAGGATAAGGGCGAGGGTAAGCAGGTCAAGGGGCAGAGGAGGAGGAGGAGAAGGAGGAGGAGGAGGAAGAGGAGGGCGAGGTCAAGCAGGTCAAGAGACAGTATGATGATGTGGAGAAGGAAGAGAAAAGGGGAATATGATGAGGTTGAGGAGAAGGAGGAGGAGGAGGAGGAGGAGGATGAGGAGGATGAGGAGCAGGAGGAGGAGGAGGAGGAGGATGAGGAGGAGGAGTTGAAGGAAGGAGTGGTATCAAAAGTGTAAGGTGGAACAGAGTTCTCATCGTGTGGGGAGGTATGGAGGGGAGACGGAGCGGGTGCTCGAGGAGGGGGACGAGAGGGGGGAGCTGGAGGAGGAGCGGGGAAGAAAGAGGAGTCTGTGGCGGAGGAGGAGGGCAAAGAGGCAGGCGGACGAGGGCCGAGGTTGGTCATCGGGCGACGGCGGCCTGCCCTCGCTCCCCCCATCGCCCCACGCGGGGGGGGGCGCGTGCCGAGGTCATGCCCGTCCTCATGGTGCTCTTCGCCTGCATGGCCCTGCCCTGCATGTACTGCTGCGAGTACTTCCACAACAGCCAGATCGAGCAGACGCTCCACGAGCACGAGCACGAGCGCGACCTCCACGCGGGGGGCAGCGTGTGAGGTCCTGCCGCGCTCGTTGGCTGACTTGTAGCCGTGGCCGCCTGGCGTCGCTGGGGTAGGCGAGTTGGCATTCCCTTTTCCTTTCAGTTCTAGACGCTTCGCGTAACCCGACCAGCGTCCGTAGCCTTCTGGCTCAAGCGATTGCCCGGGGGCGTTCCTTTCCCTGGGGTTGGGGCTCGAGGTTGGCCAGCGTGGCCTGGGCGGAGCCGTCCCGCCGCGCTGCCGCCGGGCCTGATGGATTCCCCGGCGTCGCGGCGGCGGCGGCAGCTGATGGATTCCCCGGCGTCGCGGCGGCGGCGGCAGCGGCGGCTCGCCTGGGGGCGCGCGGTGTTCGCTGCTGGCGCTGCGGGCGCCTCGGCCCCCGCTGGTGCCGTAGGCGCCGCGGCTGCCGTGCGCGCTGCCGGCGCCGCGGTTGCGGCCGGCGCCGCCGGCGCTGCAGCCGCCGCTGGCGCCGCCGAGGCCGCCCAGGGCGCGCCGGGACGCTGGCGCCGTTGGCGCGGAGACGCTGGCGCCGCGTGCGCGCTGCTGGCGCCGCCGACGCCGCGGGCGCTGCCGCCGAGGCCGCCGCCCTCTCCCGCGCGGCGGCCGCCGCCGCCGCCGCGGTGACTGCCGCCGCCGCCGGATCCCCTCCGGTGGCGGCGGCGGCCGGCGGCGCCGTGGCTGGCGTGTCGGCCGCTGTCGCGGCGGGCGGCCGCTGCCGCCGCTGCCGGCTCCCCGCCGGCGGCGGCGGCGGCAGTGGGCTCGGTGGCCCGCGCCGCCGCGGCCGCCCCTGCGGCCGCCTTTGGCGAGGCCGCTGGCGCGGCGGCTGCGGCGGCCGCCGCCGCCGCCGCCCCCGGCGCCCCCCCTGCTCAGCCGCAGCAACAGCAGGGCACCCCTGGAAGCCAGCAGCAGCAGCAGCAGCAGCAGCAACAGCCGCTGCAGCAGCAGCAGCAGCAACAGCAGCAGCAGCAGCTGCAGCAGCAGCAGCAGCAGGGCACCCCTGGAACCCAGCAGACCCCGCCACTCGGGGTAGACCAGGATTCAGCGCCGACAGACACAACGATACCTCAACTCAGAGCGGCCGTTTGCTGCGACCCTGGATCAACTCGGACCCACAGTTATCACGGGTGCGTCGGCCACCGCGGCAGCAGCGCCGCCGGGCAACGCGAGCCTCAGCGGGCCGCAGTCGGCCCACCCTCGACTGCGCCGATAGAGGGTGGGGAGATCGACGGATTGGACCGCGGCGAAGGGGAAGAGGACCAATCAGTGCAGGAACGGGGGGCCCAGACTCTGGATCCTGCTATGCCCCCCCCAGACCCTGCCCAGACCCCGATCCCGATCCCCCCCCCGAACAGCCCTCCTTCCCCACTCACGGGGTAGACCAGGACCCAGCGCTGACGGCGATAATTATTCCTCAGCTCAAAGCGGCCGTTAGCCGCGACCCTGGATCCCCGCGGGGAATGGCAGATGCGACGGGTGTAGACGGAGGCGGAGCGGGTCAGGAGGAGGTGCCCTTGCTCCCTGATGCCCGGTCTCCGGGACCTCAAGGCACTCTTGCATCTCAGTGCCCGAGCCATCTTCTCGACTCCAGCTGCCCGGCCGGGACAGGAGATGCGACCCTGGAGGTCGAGGAGAAGGAGAAGGAGGATGCGGCGGAAGGGGCGGGAGCTGCGGAGGCCGCGCAATATTGGGGGCCTGAAGCGGCGGAGGCCACTGAAGGTGCGGATGAGGCGCAAGCCGTCAGCCGCGTCCCTGGAGCAGAATCGGGTAGACAGGAGCTTGCTTCCGAAAGTTCGGACGGCAGCCGCAACAGTCCGCGAAGAGAGACCCTGACCAGCAGGGGCTCGCCTGCCACAGCGTGCCATCCCCACCTCCTCCACAAAATAGACAGACCGTCAGCAGTCCCCTGGGAACGCCACAGACCAAGCACGGGGACCACGGATCAGCCTTACAGGCGCAGAACATCGAAGCCATCCGCCGGCTCGTCGGGAGAAACCCCTTCGCGCCTATTCGCCCTCCTTCCCCTGCCAGTAAACCCGCCCGAATGGACGGCGAACCTCAGGCGCTCCCTCCAGACGCCCAGGACACGCCTGACCAAGAAGTTTGTGCTCTGGCAGTGGAAACGGCGTCGCCGTACGTGCACGCACCCAGTACGACCAGCGGCGCCCCCGCGTCCGGCGAGAGCCTCGCGGCGGCTGGGGGCGCGCCCGTGAGCGATGGCGGGCACATGCCCGAAGGCGAACGCCGGCGGGGGGGGCCTCTCCCCGCGCGCCCCAGGGCAGCGTCCGCCCGAGCCGCCGGAGCCGCCGGAGGCGATCCGGCCCCTGCCTGGCGGCTATATGCTAACCCGCAGGGCCCCGCCAGGCGTGCAACCGGAACCGTCGCGAACAGGTTTCGAGCCCTCCGTCAAGGACAGCGGGGCTGGTTCGCAAGAGACTTGCGGCCAGAACTCGCGGCAGCGCCAATGGCCAGAGCCGCGCCAATGGCTAGAGCCCAGACCCCGACACGGGACAGCAGCTGTACAAAGCAAAGATCGGCGCCATCCAGTGGGACCTCCCCGAGGAGACACCCGGCGAGGCGATGAGGCGGCTTCAAGTCACCTTGGGGGCAATGTTCACAGGCACCCGGCACGCGTTCGCCACGCAGCAGGCCGCGCCCGGCAGCAAAGGCGCGCTCGACCCGCTGCGGCACGACCCGCAAACGTGCCTTCACTTCTTGTCCTCCTTCCGCAGCCACAATTGCGACGTACGGGCCGTGAGCGACGCGCTGGGCCTCGGCGTCGACTGGGCTCAGCTGCGGCATCGGCACCAGGGTCGAAGCGGCGGCGCGGGCAGGGGTCGCCAGGCGGCGAAGGGCCACGCGGACAGCCGCGCACCCAGGAGGGGCAGGAAACACTGGGTGGTCGTCTCCTAACGCTCTGCGGGCGCGGTCGTCCGCGTTTCACACCTGTTTGCCGCGCTGTCGGCCAAGGGCCGAAACCCTGGCTTCCCGCGCAACGGTTAACCCGCCACGCGAGCCTGCGGGCCCTCGCTCCCCCACCAGCCCGTTCAGGAACGACGGCTTCCAGCGGGGACAGCCGGTGTCGACGGCCATGGGCCGCAGCCCGGACGGCGTGCATCCTCAGACCCCAGGCGGCCGTCTGCCGCAACCTTGGTGTACCGCTAACCCCCTGGCGCACTGAGTCAACAAAACTTGGAGCAGCCGTTAGCTGCTCCCCGACGAGGCACCACCCTGGCGGCGAAGGTTCCGCGCGAGCCCCGGCCTGCTGCCGTGTCCCTGGATGCAGGTTCTGTTGCTCCCTCAACTGCGCAGTGCGGTCAGGCAGCAGCGCGTTGGGCGGCGGCGGGGGCGGCCGTGGCAGCCCTCGGCAACGGGAGGGGGACCGCCTGCACTGTGAATTCAAATGTGCGAGCAGCCGCTAGCTGTACCTCGACGAGGTACCGCGCTGGCGGCGACGGTTCCGCGTGGGCTCCAGGCCACCCGCCTATCCCTGGATGCAGGCTCTTTTGCCCCCTGGCGGGGAGGGATCCGCGAGGGCTCAAAGTACTCTTGCATCCTGGTGCCCTGGTCCCGGCTCCGGCTGCCCGTTCGGGGTTCCCTCGCACCCTTGCTGCCTTGCGTCCGACGGCGATCAAGGCACCGTTGCCTCCCCGTGCCCGAGTGCTGCAGAGGGCAGGCCCGGGCTTGGAGACAAGCCCCTGCACGCTCGCCCCAAGCCACGCGCAGCGGCGCAGGCCAAGGCACGACCGTTACAGAAGTCGCCGGCGTGACAGATGAGTGCTGCACCGTGTAGGTGGCGACGGGTGCTACGAGAAGGTGGAGTGGGCGACGCGGGTTTACATCCAAAACATCTGGAGGGTCCCTCCGGCGTGTAACCCCAGCCTCGAGGACCTCAAAAAACACTCGCACGGGGTGTCGGCGCGCACCTCATCCCAGGCGGCCGTCTGCCGCAAGCCTGGTGTACCGAGGCCCCCCTGTGTACTGAGGCCACAAACTCATAGCAGCCGTTAGCTGCCCCCCGTCGTGGCACCGCACTGGCAGTGAAGGTTTGGCCGGCCCCTGGGACAGGACGGCCGCGTGGCAAGGGAAGCCAGCCCCGTACCGTTGCAGTCGTACACCGATTGGAGCGACGAGGCAGCTGTCAGCGGCTGGCCGCCCGCGCTGCCGAGGTGCGGCCCCCTGACCAACGATCCCCGAGCAGGCTTTAGCTGCATCCCTGGCTCCCCCGGCTCGCTGGCAGCCGCCACATGGCTTGCACCGCGGGCGGGCCGTCGGTACCTGTCGCATCTGTCCCATTGCAGGCTTCGCCTCCCCTGGGTTCGCCCCGCGCTCTTCTCTCAACACTGAGCAGCGGTTAGCTGCGACCCTGGATCAACTCTGCCCTCCCCCCCTTCTCACAGGGCTGGCCAGGACCCCGCGCTGACGGCGGTAATAATAATACCTCATTCATAGCGGCTGTTAGCTGCGACCCTGGACCCCCGCGGGGAATGGCAGATACGACGGGTAAGACAGTGCCCCGACGTTGTCCGCGAGCTCTGGGCCAGCGGCCGTATCCCTGGGTGCCGGTTCCGTGGTCCCCCCGGCGGGGAGGGAACCGCGGGGGCTCAAGGTACTCTTGCATCCCGGTGCCCCTGCCCTCCTCGGTGCCGGCTGTCCGTTTGGGGTCCCCTCGCCCCCTTCCGGCCTTGCGTCCGCGGGCGTTCTAGGCACCCTCGCCTCCCCGTGCCCGAGTGCCGCAGAGGGCAGGCCCGTGCTCAGAGGCGGCTCCCGCCCGCTCCCTGACGGACAGCGCATCGGACTCGGGACTGTAGAGGCCGCGGCCACCCTGGAAGCAAGAGAAATCAGCTCCGTGCCGTCGCAGTCGTGCACTCGAGGCGTGACAGCGGTGGGAGGTTGCCCTCTCTCGTTGCAGCAGGTACGGTCCCCTTGGACAACAGATCCATAGCAGGCTGCGTCTACCCTGGGGGTGCTCTGCCCCTTGATCGCCCCCTCCTTGGACGCTCCGTCTTCATTCACTCAGTGCGGCGGTTCGCCGCGACCCTGGATCCATGCGGGGAGTAATAGAGACTACGGGCACGAGACATAGCCCTGACGAGGACCGCCAATCTGTCTCTCATACGGGCTGCTGTCGTACTCCCGGGGACAGATGCCGACAGCACCTCAGACGGCAGCCGGCCGCCACCCTGGCCTTCCCTTGGACGTAGAAGCGGAAGAGGCCGAAGGCCACCTTGGACGAGTGAAGCGTACCTTGAGCAGCCGTTAGCTGCATCCCTGGAGTTCGGGCCCTGGCTTCGGCGCCCTTGCCCCCTCGCCAGGTCTCCCTGGGAGCCTCTCCGTGTGGAGGGTCGGTGATGTCTGTCCCCGCCGCCCCTCTTCTCGGGTCCCTCCTGGGCTGGGCAGGCTGCCGGGTCCACTTGCCCCTGGATCGCGAGGTGGCCGTTCTCTTTGTCCCCCTCACTCGCCAGGTGTCCCTGGGGAGCCCGTTGGCGTGGAGGGCCGGTGATGTCTGTCCCCACCGCCCCTCCCCTCGGGTCTCTCCCGGGCTGGGCCGGCTGCCGGGCCCTTAGACCCCTGGGACGCGGGCGTGATCGTCCCCCCACCCTCAGGGCTGACCAGGACCCCGCGCTGACGGCGGTATTCACCTCACTCATAGCGGCGGTTAGCTGCGACCCTGGATCCCCGCGGGGAATGGCAGATACGACGGGTAAGGCAGTGCCTCGACGGTGACTGCGAGCTCTGGGCCAGCGGCCGTATCCCTGGGTGCCGGTTCCGTGGCCCCCCCTGCGGGGAGGGTTCCGCGGGGGCTCAAGGTCATCTTGCATCCCGGTGCCCCGTGCCCGTGTGCCGCAGAGGGCAGGCCCGTGCTCAGAGGCGGCTCCCGCCTGCTCCCGGACGGGCAGCGCATCGGACTCGTGGCTGTAGGGGCCGCGGCCACCCTGGAAGTAACCCATAGCAGGCTGCGTCCACCCTGGGGGTGCTCTGCCCCTTGATCGCCCCCTCCTTGGACGCTCCGTCTTCATTCACTCAGTGCGGCGGTTCGCCGCGACCCTGGATCCATGCGGGGAGTAATAGAGACTACGGGCACGAGACATAGCCCTGACGAGGACCGCCAATCTGTCTCTCATACGGGCTGCTGTCGTACTCCCGGGGACAGATGCCGACAGCACCTCAGACGGCAGCCGGCCGCCACCCTGGCCTTCCCTTGGACGTAGAAGCGGAAGAGGCCGAAGGCCACCCTGGACGAGTGAAGCGTACCTTGAGCAGCCGTTAGCTGCATCCCTGGAGTTCGGGCCCTGGCTTCGGCGCCCTTGCCCCCTCGCCAGGTCTCCCTGGGAGCCTCCCCGTGTGGAGGGTCGGTGATGTCTGTCCCCGCCGCCCCTCTTCTCGGGTCCCTCCTGGGCTGGGCAGGCTGCCGGGTCCACTTGCCCCTGGATCGCGAGGTGGCCGTTCTCTTTGTCCCCCTCACTCGCCAGGTGTCCCTGGGGAGCCCCTCGGCGTGGAGGGCCAGTGATGTCTGTCCCCACCGCCCCTCCCCTCGGGTCTCTCCCGGGCTGGGCAGCCGCCAGGCTCGCAGACCCCTGGATCGAGGGGGTGATCGTCCCCTCACCCCAGGGCTGACGAGGACCCCGCGCTGATGGCGGTAACGTTACCTCACTCATAGCGGCGGTTAGCTGCGACCCTGGATCCCCGCGGGGAATGGCAGATACGACGGGTAAGGCAGTGCCTCGACGGTGGCCGCGAGCTCTGGGCCAGCGGCCGTATCCCTGGGTGCCGGTTCCGTGGCCCCCCCGGCGGGGAGGGAACCGCGGGGGCTCAAGGTACTCTTGCATCCCGGTGCCCCTGCCCTCCTCGGCGCCGGCTGTCCGTTTGGGGTCCCCTCGCCCCCTTCCGGCCTTGCGTCCGCGGGCGTTCTAGGCACCCTCGCCTCCCCGTGCCCGAGTGCCGCAGAGGGCAGGCCCGTGCTCAGAGGCGGCTCCCGCCCGCTCCCTGACGGACAGCGCATCGGACTCGGGACTGAAGAGGCCGCGGCCACCCTGGAAGCAAGAGAAACCAGCTCCGTGCCGTCGCAGTCGTGCACTCGAGGCGTGACAGCGGTGGGAGGTTGCCCTCTCTCGTTGCAGCAGGTACGGTCCCCCTGGACAACAGATCCATAGCAGGCTGCGTCTACCCTGGGGGTGCTCTGCCCCTTGATCGCCCCCTCCTTGGACGCTCCGTCTTCATTCACTCAGTGCGGCGGTTAGCCGCGACCCTGGATCCATGCGGGGAGTAATAGACACTACGGGCACGAGACATAGCCCTGACGAGGACCGCCAATCTGTCTCTCATACGGGCTGCTGTCGTACTCCCGGGGACAGATGCCGACAGCACCTCAGACGGCAGCCGGCCGCCACCCTGGCCTTCCCTTGGACGTAGAAGCGGAAGAGGCCGAAGGCCACCCTGGACGAGTGAAGCGTACCTTGAGCAGCCGTTAGCTGCATCCCTGGAGTTCGGGCCCTGGCTTCGGCGCCCTTGCCCCCTCGCCAGGTCTCCCTGGGAGCCTCCCCGTGTGGAGGGTCGGTGATGTCTGTCCCCGCCGCCCCTCTTCTCGGGTCCCTCCTGGGCTGGGCAGGCTGCCGGGTCCACTTGCCCCTGGATCGCGAGGTGGCCGTTCTCTTTGTCCCCCTCACTCGCCAGGTGTCCCTGGGGAGCCCCTCGGCGTGGAGGGCCGGTGATGTCTGTCCCCACCGCCCCTCCCCTCGGGTCTCTCCCGGGCTGGGCAGCCGCCAGGCTCGCAGACCCCTGGATCGAGGGGGTGATCGTCCCCTCACCCCAGGGCTGACGAGGACCCCGCGCTGATGGCGGTAACGTTACCTCACTCATAGCGGCGGTTAGCTGCGACCCTGGATCCCCGCGGGGAATGGCAGATACGACGGGTAAGGCAGTGCCTCGACGGTGGCCGCCCTTCCGTAATCCGGGCGGCTGTCGTGCAGCTCTACCCTGGATTCCCCTGCCTCGCTGGCGATGCTCATCCCCGCCGGCCTGGCTTCTCTCACCTCGGGGCCTTCCCCGTGGTGCGCGGGATGATGGCCCCGTTGTGTTCGGGCCGCTTCGAGTGGTTCAGCCTTCGAAGCCGCGGCCGCTCCCCCGGGCCTGTCCCACCCTCCAGGCTGGTTTTCGACGTTCCTCGGCGGAGCAGCTCAGCTGGCTCGCACACGCCGTTGGCGCGGCCTGCCCTTGGCGCCCCACTGGGCGACTCGCCCATCGCTTACCACCCCTGGACGCCCAGACGGCATGTTGGACACGCAGTCTGCCGCACTCGTCCTCGTGCTTCGTGTGTGTGTGTCTTGCCTCACGGCACAACTCTAATGTTCTGGCATTTTGCTGGGCTGCAAGTGCCCGAGCGTCCCTGGACGCCCTCAGCTCGCCGTCTCCCCCGCGCAGTCAGCCGCTGCTTGGTGAGTGGGCCGGCCGGCCTGCGGCGCGTTTAGTAGCTAAGTAGGCCGCTTTCGTGTCCCGTAGCGCTCCTGGCTCCGCCAGCGCCTTCGTTGGTGGACGCGACCGAAAAAAGTAACCCGACCAGCCTGCCTAGAAACGATCCCCAGATGAGTTGCCCTCATCAGGTATGTACATGATGATGCAGTGGGATCAACGGCTGGATTAGACGTCATACCCCAAGATGGGGGAGGATTGAGGAGGAAGCGGAGAGGGAGCAGGCGGAGGAGGAGTAGGGATAGGGGGAGGGGGAGGAGGGAGGAGGAAGGAGGAGGACTAGGCGGATGAGGAGGAGGAGGAGGAAGAGAAGAGCGGCAGGCTGAGCAAAGAGGGCAGAGGCTTCTCGAAGTGCCTCTCGCAGTCTCTTCGGAGGTCTTTCGCAGAAGCTCCTTGGAGTCCTCTTTGTGGCGTCTTGGGGGTCTCTGGGCAGTCCCGGGGGCCTCTTGGGGCGTCTTGGGTAAGTCTGGGGGGCCTCTTGGGGATCTCTTGGGAGCCTCTTGGGGGGGCATCTTGGGGGCCACTTGGGGGCCTCTTAGGCACCTCTTGGGGCCGTCTTGGGGCACCCTTGGGAGCCTCGAGGGCAATATTTGGGCCACCTTGGAGAAGGTCGCTCAACGGAGGGCCCGTAGTAAATCAGACCCCACCCCCCCGAGGAGGCCAAACTGTGGCCAAGACATTCGCGACATCAGCTACGTGTGCCTTCTCGCGGAGGCCATCTTGGAAGCTCCAGCTGGCCGCGACCCACCCACCTCTCCATACCCAGGGATACGGGATATGGGGGGGAGGGCCTCCCTGAAGGGGAAGAGGGAAGAAGAATGAGGAAGCTCACTAAACCACCAACGCCCGAAGGGCTGGTGGGATTCAAACTCCCTTGTCCTTTCCCGCGCTCTCCGCTCCCCTCTCGTGTCCTCTGTCCCCCCCACATGCGTACGTACTCATGCTCGTCCGTCTCATCCTTCTGGTCTTCTTCCCCATCCTCCTTCACCTCGCCATGCTCCTCAGCACCCTGCCTAACTCGAGCCCGCGCTGACGCCTGGTGTCGGCGCCCGCGGTGGAGGACTGGGACCAGGACGGTGGCCTGCCTCCGCGGAGGGCAGGTCCAGGAGGAGAGACACGGGGGGCAGGGGAGAGGGGGGGGGGCGACCGCGCTAGGCGCGAGCCGCTCGCCCCGCACAGGCCCCCCCAAAATGGGGAGCAGCAGGTTGCCTACTGCGGCTCCTGCGAAGGGCCAGAAGACGAAGCCAGGACGCGGCCCACACTCAGGCATAAGAAAATCGACGATCCTTGTCCGCCCGCTGGTGGTGGCGGCAATACCGGCTGCACAGACTACCAGGCACAAGGTGCAAGATGGGGCACAAGTGCCAGACTAGGAGACACCACTGTTGGGCCCCCCAGCTCATCGTATAACCGCGTCATTGCTGGCAGCACTGGACCAATGGACTGTTTACTCTTGGGGTCCAGTCCCTGCATCAAATAACCGAGCCTTTACTGGCTGGGCTTCGATTTTGGACGCCTGTTACATAGTTTTGTGAAGGTGTCCAACATTCTTGGTCTAGTACGAACCATCTAATTTACAGAAGACGTACCTGCCAGTACGCATGACTACATGGCCGAACCCATGGGGGGCTGGACAAGGGGCCCTGTACAGCTCGAGCTTGCAATGGCCAGAGGCCCAACAGGCTATGCACCAAAAGCGTTACACAGAAGAGTCCCATGCCAGCTCATGTGGAACTCCCGTAGGCTGCATGACAACAGCTGCTGGGGGTTGTGGACAGAGCCAAGGAGGGAGGACAGCCCGGGGAGGGCGAGGAATCTCATTGAGGCGCGGTAGGACACGAGACATTACAAAACCTATGTATTTGCCAATGTGCTCTACTACGATACGCGACCTACTCAGACGTTCCATAGCAGCTGCATCAGCAGGATGACGCCGAGCAGCAATCTTAGCAAACCTGTCAGCATGATAATTCCCCATTGTTAGCCAAGCGGCCTGGGCAGGTGAAGAGACAGTCAGGTGGGCCTCCACCTTGTGCACTTGAATGCTGTCGTAACCGATGTCGACAGCTTTCGCATGAATGCGAGACCATCTACCCGAATGGGGACTCCAACCAGAAACAGCGTGAGAAATTGGGGCGTGCCAAGAACCCACCACCTACTGGCAGTCGCTGTAATAGACATACCTACCACTTGAATCTGGCAAAGCATGCAGTAGGAAAACTAGCAGCGCCAAAGTTTCTGCACCAGGCACGACTTGATAAGCACCAGGGTAAGCGCGGTAGGCGGCCACGCGCGCCTCGCCGGATGGTCACACAGCTACCGCGGGGGAGCCGCAGCGCAATCCTCTCGGTGAAGGGCCATAGAGAACTGAACCTTCGCCAAAGACAGGAGACGCAAGTAGCGGCGCAGCCTGCGGATCACCGAAAAAAGCCATAGAATGTCCAAATCCATAGCTGGATGTGGCAACAACCTCTCTGGATCAGGGACTAGGGCGGAGTACCAGAGCGGATCATCAGGAAAGAGAGCACGAACACGTTCGACGTGAGCTGGCAAACCATCAGCTTGTCGATCAGACTGCGTGCCATCACAATACCAAAGAAGGTGACGTATAGCAGAAATTTCATCCGCATGGGCCGCCCCGCAGAAAGAACAGGGGCTAGCCACATGCACTGCTCCGGCAATGACGGATCTGAGTGCCACAACTTGAGGTCTCCCCCACGCAGGCGTAGACATTCCGACTAAAGTGCGAAGCGGTGGTAAGTAAGGTGGACCGGAGAGGTGGGACAGCACGGGGTGGCGAGGGGCAGTTTGCTTCCATCCCCATGCGTCCGCGTCCCACGCCACTATCTTCTCGACATCGCAGGGGGGAAACGACATACATATCAGTGTGCAATCCCTGCGGGTTGATCCAGAGAGTGGTGACTTGGAAGCTCCACCCCAGACGCAAGAGTGTAGCCACAGTAGACGACGCCGGACCATGAAGGTTGTCCCAGCAGGTGGCTATACCAACATTGTCAATAGCCCATTGGAAAGCCTCGTCCACGAGGCTAAGGCACCAGGGAATCCCAATGATAAGCAAGATAAGTCAGCACACCATCGGTATGAGCAGGAACCACGGGATTTACAATATGTTCCATAGCTAGGTCCATGGTGACACAGCGATGAGACTGCGAACACATAGCGACACTTTATATGCTCAGTGCTCATCCCTGTAACTCCAGACCCATAGAGAACTACCGGCTGGAGACCACAACGGACAAGACGTCGCACGCAAGCACCAGCCTTGTGTAGACGAGCCGTCCGACTTGCACGACGCATAACTTCTTTGATGTGTGCCTTGCGCACGTGGCGCAGTAGCCCACGCTGGGGCCGTAGCGTCAAGTCGACCCCCAAATTCCTGACATTCTGGGCCCGGGAAGAGCAGTGTCGGGTCTTCCACTTGTCAGTTTCCTCGCGGTGTGGGGGGTCTTCTTGCGGATCTTCCATGTGCTGGGGATCGTCGTGGTGCGGAGGATATTCTTGCTGTTCTGCGTGGTGCTGGGGGTCTTCGTGGTCATCATCGCGATGATGCAGCGCCTGGTGTAGATCTTCCTCGGCGTGCAGACCTGCTTCACGGTGCGGAGGTTTCCCTCCTTGCGGGCGGAGCGGGCCATCCTCATGGGCGTGCCGGATTTCTTCAGAGGCGTGGGCCCGAGGTGCGTGGCGACGATCTTCCTGCAGGCGATGACGATGATTTTCTTGACGATTTTACTGCCGGGGACCTTCATCCCGCAGGCGGTAATGCTGATCTGTCTGACGGTGTTCCTGCTGGGGGTTTTCGCCGATCTTCCTGCCGATCTTTCTGCGGGGGGGTCTTCAAAGGTCCTGGCGGGGACCTTCGTGGTGCTGATCTTCGTGGTCCTGATCTTCATGCAGACCCTTCTGCCGATCTTCGTGGTACTGATCTTCCTGCTGGGGTCTTCATCGCGCAGGCGACGGTGCCGATTCACCTTTCTGGGGAGGTGGGTCTCGTGGTGCCGACCCACCTCCTGGCAGGGCGTTGTCTTCCTGACGATATTTCTGCGGATCGCCGTGCTCAGGGGCGTGGTCGCCAGGACTCCGGGGGCATTCGTGTTGATCTGGGCCTTCCCGCCGACATCCTGGCCAATCTGGCTGAGTCCGAGGCTTTCGAGCCGAATGCGCTTCTGGAGCGACTTAGCGACTTCATCCCTCCTTCCCGACGGAAGCCGCGGCCGGCAGGGTCCCCTACGGCGAGGCGATGTGGAAGGTGTTGCCTAATTTCAAGATGAAGTTCAAAGGGCAGTGGGAGGTGGGGCGGGGGGCTCTTGGAGTGGCGCGGGGGCCATCTGGTTTCCTTGTGGATGCGGAGCCCAGCTCTTCCAGTGCTTCCCCTGGGCCGCTGTGCCGTCATCGTGCCTCCTCCTCCGCCGCCTGTGGATCCTGGCGCTGCTTGGGGCGCTCGTCGCGTCCGCTTCGCCGACGGGACCTCCCCAGGCCTCGGCAAAGGCGGGGGGAATGGAGGCAAGGGAGGCAAGGGCGGCGCACCCAGTGCAGTCGGAGGCGGCTCCTGGGGCACCTACGGCCGCTGGACCTGTGTCGCCTGCGGCTGCCGCAAGAATCGCCCTTCCTGGTGGTTCTGCAAGCATTGCAAGACGAGCCGCAGCGAAGTCGAGACCGCCGAGCCCCCAACTCCTCAGGGACAGTGGCAAGCTGGCGCGCCTCCACGGCTTCCTCTTCGGTCTGGACCTCAGTTCTCGCTTGGGCCCGTGTCGGGGCCTCTGCAGGGACAACCAGCTGAAGGCATGTCCAAGAGTGCGCCCGCAACCACGTCCGACCTGGAGAAGTTGGTCACCATGCTGGAGAAAGTGGGCGACTCCGACGCAGCCGCTCGCCATCGTGCTGTTCTTGAGCAGCGCAAGGCGCAGGAGGCCCCCGTCGTACCGCTTTCACAGAAGGTATCCAGAGCATTTGGTGAACTACGTACTCTACGGGAGAAAACGGACAAGGCATGCAATGTTTACTACAAGTTGGTGGAAGATGTGGCAAGGCAGAAGGACAAGATTCGGGAGCTCACCGCCGAGCTCACTGCTGCCGAGGCCACCCACACCAAGCTGGTTCAGGAGCTCCACGCTCAAGTGTCTTCTGCACCTGTGCTACTTGACATTTCTTCTATCTTGGATGGCAAAGCTGAAGACATACCTATCAGTATCGATAGCTTGCTCAAGCCCCAGTCGGATTACAAGCTGGAGCCTGAGGAGGTGGAAGAGGCCGAAAAAAAGAGCCACGCAGCTCAAGGGCGATCTCCAGACAGCTGCGCGGGCTCTTTTCGGCGAGGCCATGCAAAAAGTCAAGCAATTTCAACAAGATCAGTCGGAGTTGTTCAAGCGGTCCGAGGCCAAGCGCAGGCGCACTGAGGAGGAGGATGGAGCCCAGGCCAAGGGCGGAGATGGCGAAGCAGCTACTGCAACGGTGGCCCCACCAAGCTCGGCTACGGCATCGGCGGCCCCTGCTGCTCCTCCTGCTGCCGCTGAACAACCTCCAGATGGGGTGCATGGAGATGAAGGAGTACGGGAGCGCGCAGCTCGGATCCTTCAAGAGCCCCTGCCGTCTGCGCCCCCGAAGGCGGAGGACACCCCATCGACTCTTTGACGAATTACCTCTTCGAGTGAGCCCTTCTGAGCCCCTGCGCAAGGGGAGGCCTGCACCGCATCGTTCTTCTGTGCCAGGTGGGCCAAGTTTTTGTGCCCCAGTGAAGTTTCAGCCTCCAGTGGATCTTGGGGTGAGCTTCGGTGGCCCAGGGGCCGCCTACGGGGAACGCACCACCTGGTCCCAGGCCTTCCCCTCTTGTGAGCCCCCTGCTGTGTCCATTAGCACGGTCTGTGCTGGCCGTTCCAGTAGGAGAGGGCTGATTTCAGCGGT